ATACCTAGAATCACTGTTATTTTCTTGCGGGAACTGTGAGCTCTGTCGATTTTGTTGCGTAGTTTTGAGAGAACCTTCGAGTTCCGTGAGGCGACTTCTCAACCAATCTATAGTCAAATTGTCGACAGTCAGTTTATTTGGCAATAATTTCCCTGAAGTGTCATCCACAAGGTTCTCATCAAATGTAAATCTAATCGGAGATGCTGGCCTAGTTCTACATTAACATTATAATTTGAAATATTTGTATTAAAATATTATATTTTTTAAGTATAGAAATAATTATATGTACTTATGTTTTCCAATAAAATCTCTATATTCCTCGATAGGCTTAATACTATCGACCGCCTTCAGCACTTTCATATGAATCTCCAGGAATTTCTCTGTTGTAAAATCTGTATACTTTACAATATCCTGAAGTATTCCTTTCCTAGAGGAAATAGATATTTAAATATTTTGTACATGTAAAAAATAATAACTATTAATTTTTATAATAAAGTTTTTACCTTCTCCATTTCTAGATGCAAATAGAAAAATCAAGATGAAATATTAAGGTTTTATTCAAGGATAAAAAATGATAAAAAAAAATTAGAAATTTGGCAGAGTGTATTTAGATATCATATATAAGGCTATTTATATAACGAAACTCACCATGAAGTTATGAATTCTTGGTGAATAGCCTGTTGCCGATGGAGCAAACTTGGCAAATAACAGGTTCTTAAATCGTGTTCACATTCTGTCACAGCACCTAGTAGTAGTACGTATTCGTTGTGTGTTAAATGAAGCTTTCTGCATGCCTTCTGATACTTTTCTCTTACTTCGTCTAATTTGCGGCCTCCTCTACCAGCTAAAGAAATTACATTATTCTGTACCACTTTCTTATTGCACAAATACAACAGATTTGATATGATACAAAATGATTTCTATTTGATTGTTTAGAAAGCTCTGCGGTTTGTTAGCTCAAAATTGTATATACAATATCTTTGTCAAAAATGAACGAAATTTAAATTTAAAAAAGGGCTTTAAAAGTAGAAATCTCTACTTTCAAAAGGTTACTATAATTTTTTAGTTTATTTAATTTTTTTTCACATATAGAAAACTAGTTGAAAAAGAAGGAAATTTTTCTTTGTGAATCTGTCACGTGTCAAAAAAAAATTTGCAAAATTTTTATCATGAAAACTTGAAGTTTTCCCTGCATTTTTCAAAAATGTTTCTATAATTTTTTAGATTTCTTGAGTTATTTACAAGTTAAATAAAAAGGAACATTCTTTGATTGCTTCTAACTTTCACTGCTACGATTCACCTGCTATTAAAAATATGACATTACTTTCCTTTTAACCACTGCGCAATAATTATAAGGACTATAATGTCACATTTTTGGCTCAAATTTATAGATTCTACATTTAAAAAATCAGCAGCTATACTATTCGATAAAGCAGAATTTCAGCCTTAAGAATCTGATTTTTTTAATTGTGGTATGATGATTCTTAACAAAGTTACGAGCAATCAAAATCAGAAGTCTTTTATTTAACTCATGTGTAACAAAATAAGGGGACATTTTAACAAAGTAACAAAATATGTAGGAACATTTTTAAAAAATTTTTGGAGAAAACTTTTCACGTCGAATAGTTGAAAATTTCTCAACAAATATATTCTGTATATAATTTTGAGCTAATAAATATCGTAGAACTTTCTGAAACCATCTAATACATAAACCACTTACACTTAACATAATACTCTTCAAATCGTGACCTCATTAATTTATACATCTCTAAATTCTTCTGATACTCCATTTTCTTCCTAGTTACATCATCCGTCAGCTTCAAATGAATAAATAAAAGAAAATTTTAATAATAATCAGAGTTCATCTAATTTGTTTACTATTTGCCATATTATACTTTGATGTTGCATCATAATATAAATCTTGCTTACTTGCTGAAACTGATTATTCAGCCAATTATGTTCCTCTTGGTAGAGTTTTCTAGCTCTCCTTCTTTCTGAGTACAATGTACTTAACTGATCTACAACAATATTTTCAATAGAATCTGCTTGCTGCTTGATCAATTTCGCTGTTTGATCAATAGAGTCCATTATATCTCTCCAACTCTGCAAAAATATATGTATGTATGTATGTATGTATGTATGTATGTATGTATGTATGTATGTATTGTTCATATTAAGCCTATTCTTTTTGACTGAATTTTTACATTAGTTCTTTACATCTTTCTTCCTCTTTTTTCCTCCTGGAGAAAAGGAAAAAAAATGAACTGGTGCAAAAGTTCAGTCAAAAAGAATAAGTCTATTATTCCAACAATTTGCCAACAAATATGACAGATTAACATCACAACAACAAATATATTAAACATTCTAGCAGAATTTATATATAATATAATTTAACAGCAAATTGTCAATGAAAACCAATTTATTATTTCGTAATCATGTAAATAGTCATATGAAATGTCTCAGTTTCAGTAATTAATCATATTCGGTTAACAAATTTTGTAACATTTCTATTAGTATTCTGCCGAAAATTTCAGTAGCAAGAACTTGACAAAATTATGTGTTCAACACAAATAAGCGAAGATCATATTCAGTCAAAGTAGATCTTTTTTTTGGTGGATTTTACAATTTCTAATTTAAGCAAACTGTGTGCGATTAGTGCGATTATGTGTTAGCCTTGTACAAGACTTCTGAGCTGACAAGCAATTCAATAATACTGATGAACAGACTATGTATTCAACAGATTTGGCTGATTGAACTACCTGTGCTATAAGACTGCCAACGAGATCCTCGTTGCGCTCGATCTTCTTTCCTTGGATGGTGAGAGAGGAAATGGTAGAGGCATATTCTCGGTCGGATTTGACCTTTGACGTGAGGCACCTTCGCATCGTTTCCAGCAGCTTGATCTCGGCATCCTGACGGGTTAAAAGCGCCTCATGCGACGCCTGACCCTGCAGACTTGTGGAGAAACCCATTCCTCGGCGAATCGAAAACTATTACAGCAACGTGGTAGTGCTGATGATCAACGGTGGCTCATTTTAACTTTGCTTCGTTAAAATGGGATGTCTGAACATGACATCGATGAATATTCCTAACTTTTAATTTAGATGGGCTTGGCGCGTTGAACGGCGACGTGTCCGATATTGTTACATGATCAGCGTCACTAACGACAAGGATAACGACGACGTGCCGTTACTCCGGCGCGTCCCCGCGCAACTCTGAGATCAACATTTATATTTATACCCGTCTCCCAAAAGCTGTAGAAAAATTTTACTTTTATCAGCAAAATACCGCCATTGGGTAAGTCGCACGATGATGTCGATCAAGGCATGGGCTGCGTTCAGCAGAAAAAACTAATCAGTTAGGGCGCGTTCACATTTTGACGGGAAAACGGAAAAGCAGCAGCCAATCAGAACTCTAGCTGGTAGTCTACAATTTCGGCTTTTTGTACTATCAGCGCGAGTTCTGATTGGCCACTGCTTTTCCGTCAAGACTCTTTTCCACAATCGCAGAAAAGAAGAATAATGACTGTAGAATTGTGATTGTCGCGCTGTTCCATTCCGCTATAAATTTCCGCTCATGGAACGGCGGCCTTATGGTGCGATCCCATGGTGCGAAATTGGCGGAACGCTTGTGATTGATTATAGCCTCATTCCGCCGATTCCGTCGTTTTCTGTTACATAAATTTATTAATTTATTTCTTTTGCGGATTCTATCGATGCCTGCATGTATGTGTGTACATATGTATACTTATAAAAACTAATCTCGCTGAGTTGGTTTAAAAGAAGAAAACTGTCTTTTACAAGCGCATGGTTAATCAACATGCTGAGGCGTGTCTGGATTCCCACCTGGATGTTCTGCGGATGTTATGTCAATCTTGTTTAACATTTGGTAAAGAATGGAGTAATAATGGAATTTCAACATAACCCTGAAGATAATTAATTAAGTCTCCAGATAAATACGGTCAATATGGTCAAAACACGAATGTGTGTATATATATATATATATATATAAATTAAAATCAAAATAGGTTCACAAAATAAAGTCGGGGCAATGTCCCTGTATATGTGATTTCCGATCCGCAGGAATTTAGTTCCAACGAAGAACCACAGAATAAGTACATACAATATGCATACTGAGTGTCGGCATGATTTCGACTTTGATGTAGTGCTTTATGCACAAATTTTCTTATATAAGGTCCACTTTCACCAAGCTCCGATTAACTTAATGGACCTAGTAACTTTGCAGGATTCCAACTGAAGTTGATGTCGGAGAAAAAATGTGAACTGAAGAGTTAAACATTTCTCTAATTATAATTAACTGTAATTTTACATACTATATTGAACACAAAAATAGATTATTAACAAATAGCTACCAGAGAAAAATCTTGCTACATATAAGTTAGTATTATACAAATCTATATTTATAACTTCTCTCTTTGCATTTTTTCTTCGACATTAGCTTCAGTTTATCCTACAAAGTTACTAGGCCTGTTAAGTTATTTTTCATTATTTTTCGGGAAATTATTTAGCCTCCTCGTATCCGAAATTGACTTTACATCCTAAAATTAGACTCATTTGTGTCTTGCACAAAACGATCGAATCTGGCGTCATCAGAAACAATCGTCGCTCTTGCTTGTGAACTGAGATATCGTTAATATGTTCAAGATCATTTTTGAGAGATAAATTACATAAATGAGTTAGCTTGCATACAGAATACGTTATGAAAAGTATATTTTTGTACTTCGTTGTAATATTTTGTTATGTAAAAGAGTATGTTTCATAAACGTGACATCCTTTTTTCAAGTAATGGTATCGATAACGCATTAGTTTTTATAATGTATAACTAATAATGATAACGAGTATACTATGAGTATACAGTACTTTTAATAAAAAAGTAACTGTATAGTAACACATTATTTTTTTAATATTCTCAACTCTGATTAGAAATTAATGTAAATTAGAAAAGAGATGTTAAAGCATGAAGAATCGAGATGAAAAAAATTTAATATAATTAAGATAATTCTATTTGTTTCTGTCTGAAATATCTAATGTGATAATTATAGTCTTCGGAATCTAGTGTCCATAATAATGCCATGTACATTGTCAATATGGTACCCAATAATACTCGATCCGCACTGTAAAAAAATCATATTTATCAAAGTTATTTTACCTTTTATTTGTTTTTCTATACTTGTTTTTAGAATTTGCTTAAAATAATAAATTTTTTTTTAATCTGTAAATATTGGCACAAAATGTATTCTATAAAAGCACTCAAAATTATTTAGCATGGATTGTAAATTAATATACTTGATTTAAAAGAAGCTGATGCAAAAAAATTAAATTTAACTTTATGAAATTTTACCTCATGACAGGATAAATCCACAAAATAGTAACAAATCCAATAAAACTAGGATGCCTCATATGTCTCATATATCTGCAAAGTTCTCTAGATTTCCTATCCAGTGGACTATTCTTTTTAGATACTTTGTACCATATTTGCTTGAGCCCGCAGAGCTCGGCAATGTCCATCATAATACATCCACTGTAAATAATACTCCAAGCAAATACATGGAGGCTGGAAAATATCGTCCAGACTGTCTTGTTGGAAGTTTCAAACTTCCAGATTGTTACAGCTGGAGTCTGCTGCCATTTATTAATTAAAAAGTGAAGACATGCCGAACTACAAGCATTATAAATACTCCTGCTAAGGTATTCAATGTTTAGTCTACAGAAGGTAAATTTAGTGAGCTCATTGGTCATAATAGAGTGTTGAAAGATAAATGTTGTAATAAGTAACATATCTGTTAGAAGAGACCATAAAGTAGATTTCTCTGCATTGTCATCTGAAAACAATCGAGGTGTTTGCACATATGCAAGTTTAATCTTATCAAAATTATTATAAACATTATTTATAACTCAAAAAATATATATATGTACACATGCAAAAAAATATAAGAATAAAAATATTTTTGTATCTTTCTTTTTTATTCTTAATTTGTAACAGTAATATACTACTAATAGGAAATCGCTCAGTTTGGAATCATTTAACAAAAACATACCTAATATTGTGTGTGAATTTTCATTATCTCCATGACTTGATAAAAAATAAGTTAATCTGCACAAAATGTAGCAAGTATATACAAAACTGGAGGCGCCCACGATTGCATTTAATATGTTCAAGATCATTTTTGAGAGATAAATAACATAAATGAGTTAGCTTGCATACAGAATTATGAAAAGTATATTTTTGTACTTCGTTGTAATGTTTTGTTATGTAAAAGAGTATGTTTCATAAACGTGATATTCGTTTATAAATAAATAAATAAATAACACTATTTTTAATGATTTTGTGTGTATAGTCATATAACCACATATAACAACTAAAGCGAAACCCAAGATCTAAGACTGACTGAGAGGACATTTCAGGAATGGTTTACAACGTTTCTATAAAGAGCACTTACACAGCCTATACAGCAGAGAGAAATTTGATGAGGGCCTTTTGGCTCTGCACACTTTATACCGAAATGCTTACTAACCAATCAAAGTTCTTCTTTTCCGTGAAATAGAAGGAAAGGAAAAATTCTGATTGGTTGATTCTCTTATGCACTATGAATTGTGCAAAAGTCTGTGCTGCGGCCTTAATTCGAAACGCATCCCCTCGTAGTCATAAGAGATCTATTTTCTGTGGCTGAACTAGTGTACATTTTTAGAACTTAAAGTGAGTTTGATATTGTATTTGTTTAAAGCGAAAAAGAGAGTCTAGTGCAGCAATAAAAAACAGACCTATAATATCACCTAACCTAATCTGTTGTGAGATGTTGTGAGACAGATCGATGTAAATAAGAACGTATTAAATATTTAGTCCGCACTAATTTGATGCGTATACTGATCGATTTAATGGTGTAAAAAGAATCTATATGGTTGTAATTTATATCATCTGACATCTCGCATTAATAGCATCGAAAAATGTCGGCGATGCTAACTGCCGATTGGTTTCCTCTGGGACGAGACGTATACTTTCGGTAAATATACTCTGAAAAATTTATGTACATATTTTCAAATATAACGTATTTACATGATTAAGTTTTGTATTTTTGACAAGTAATCTGACATCGTTTGATGCATTGGTTGCATTCAGCAGAGAAAGCAGCTTTGCAACTTGCACAAATGTATAAACTATATATCAAAATTATAAACCATCATATTAAAGAATTTTACAATACTTGCAAAGCTGCTTTCTCTGTTGAATGCAGCTACTGACAGCATGTTACTGATTTTTATTTCAGCAAATTTGAGTTATATCCAATATCCTTCCAACATGAGATTTCCAACAACAACTTGGTAGTAGCAGCACCATACGGAGGCTCTATTGCTGTAACAAGAAATCCTAAAAAATTTGTCAAGATTCAAGGTGCCAGCAAACCTTTAATATTGCTGTATACATCATCAGGAAAATTGACAGCCAAGTTGCAAGTGAGATCTCTTTGGTTTGGAGACTTTGTGACTTTACTTATTTTTATCTTTGTTTCTTATTCTTTTAATTATCTATTAGTGGAGCAGTGGACAACTGATATCATTTGGTTGGTCTCAACAAGAAGAATTGCTATGTGTGCAAGATGATGGCATGGTTCTCATATACGACATGTTTGGAACTTATCAACATACCTTTAGTATGGGAAATGTAAGCTGACTGAAATGTAAATCTTTATCTCATATAATTTTATCTCATATAATTTTGTTTTATATTTTAACCACGGATATCCATTTTGACAACTTGATTCACTTATGATGTAGCATTATATTGTTTTATTTATATTTTATTTATGTCTTATTTTTAATTATCTGACTTAAATGACCTCTTATTGATCTTATAATTTTTGTTTTTCTTCAATTTATTTCATTTAATACTTTCTTTATTTTCTGTCTGCTCTTGTTTGTTTTTATATATATTTATTTTTATTTCTATTGTATGATTTCTTATGAGATATAATCCTTTGTTCAATTGGCAGATGAAGACTTAGTATAGTCAAAAAACGTACCATTGTTCTCTTATAAGAGTTGAAACATTACATTTATAACAACATGCTTATGATTCTCATTTCATATTCTCTTCTATTGTTTGCAAGAATCAAGCTTTGAGTTAATTATGAGATAACATTAATCTTTAATTATGAACATGTTATCTTTTTCTTTTCAAGGCAGCCAAAGATACTAAAGTTGTTGATGCAAAATTCTTTATGACGTCTAACAGTACTGGGATAGCTGTTTTAACGTCCACCAATCGTATATTTCTAGTGAATAATGTGTCTGAGCCTAAAGTCCGGCCAATCACTGATATACCAAGTAAATATAATATATTTATATGTTCATTGAATTTTTGTCATCACAATTGTTACTTCTAGGGTATGGTCCAATTGATTGCTGGTACATGGTACATTGCGAAAGAGAGACACAAGTGATTTTGTCAAATAGAGAAGGAATATTTGTAATTCATCAATCTCATCAGAATACTTTTTCATTTGTAAGCATAATGTTGTATAATTCCCAACATTATTATAATTTATTTTACATGAATTTAAAAATATCTAATCCAGACTACTTTAATTTGTTTCTTAGAACAATTTGTTCAACAATAAAATTAATAGTGTAATAGCGATAGCTGCGTCTAACAACAATCGACATATTGCACTTTATTCTGATACTGGACATTTGTATATCGGTTCGATAGACTTTAGAGAGAAATATTGTGAATGCTATACAAATATGAAGGAACCTCTAACGAATATAGCTTGGTTAGTAAAGATAATTATTTAAATTCTTTAAGTTTAATAAACTATAAGGAACAATGAAATAGACTAATTTTTGTTCTCGTAAGTAGCAAGTAATAATTTTTTTGTTTTTAAGCTATTGAATTTGATTTTAACATTAAAACAAATTTTGATTTATCAGAAATTAAAATAAACATATAAAGCTCTATAAACATTTAGTACCCTAAATTATTATTGTTGAGTTTAGGAACATATCAATTCATGTTTTTCTCCCACTAAAACTAATAATATTTCATCTTTGCTATTTTTAGTGGTTCATGTTTTGCTTCATAAAAAGGTAAAAAAAGTTAATATTTAAAAATAGGCATTATAAGAACTATCTTAACTATGAGAACCTGAGAATCTTGTTATTCATTATGCTCAATTTCAAGATTTTCTTTCCCTTATGTACTTAACAAGAAATGCATAACAACTTTCAGGTACTATAATGAAGATTTGAAATAGTTCTCATTGAAAATGGCTCTGTTTTTAGATATTAGTATTTTTTTATTTTTTAAAATTTAAATATGAATAATTAGAGATTACAGCATTTTCATGTTTTATCAGCAGTAAAATGTGAATTAATATAATATTATATAATAATAATAATTACAATAAAACAATACATTTAATGGCTTCATATGCTGACTTAAATATCTCCGACAAATTACAATTTCTTGAAGATCAGGATTAGATTCGACAGCTCAAAAACTACCGCTTTTATTTCTCATTGCGGATCAAAATCAATCCATTTTAGCTATTGTCTTTTTAAAGCGATATTAGAATTTGACAAACATTTGTAGGTGTGGCACAGAAGCTGTGGTGTGCAGCTGGAACAGTACGATAATGGTAGTGGGACGTATGGCTGATACTATAGTATACAATTATGATGGTCCAGTACACTTAGTTACGGAAATCGACGGAGTACGCGTGCTGTCGAGCAGTTCCCATGAAATGATTCAGAAAGTACCAAACGTTGTACAAAGAATATTTAGAATCAACTCAACGGATCCTGCATCCTATCTCTTAGAAGCCTCTAAGCAATTTCAAAAGAAGAGCCACAAGGCCGATAGTTATATAGATTTAGTGAAAGATAAACTGGATTCGGCAATAAAGGCATGCATCGATGGTGCAAGTCACGAATTCGATTTTGAAACACAAAAAATTCTGATGAGGGTAAGTTGGACATTGAGAGAAGAACGTGTGTACGTTTGTTGAGATCAAATTGTTTAATATTATCAAGTTTTTATTAGGCTGCTAAATTTGGAAAAGGATTTAGCAAAACGATAGATTCGGAATATTATGTTCAAATGTGTAGGATTTTAAGAGTCTTAAATGCAGTGAGGCATCCTGCTGTGGGCATTCCATTAACATATGCGCAGTATCCTTTTGTATTCAGTTGATATTGTGCAGGATCTTCTTGTATATTCTTCATATTTTCTTTTTATAATTATTGCAATTAAATATTTCTATGGAAATCCTTAATGATACTAGATTTAATATTCTCACGAATCAAGTGTTACTAGACCGACTGGTAGCACGAAGACATTATTATTTAAGCATACAAATAGCACGTCACTTGCAATTACCCGAGATTGATGGGGAAAGTAGAATATTAGCACATTGGGCTTGCTACAAAGTAAGATAAATAATACGTGAAGTGGTGAAATTTTATGTGCGAATTGGACTAACAAATATATTTTTGTTTTCTACTTTATAGGTGAAACAAACGCAGTTAGATAAGGAACAAATAGCAGAAGAAATTGCTGATAAATTAGGATATGCACCTGGTGTTTCGTATAGCGAAATTGCGAAAAGAGCGGCGGACTGCGGGCGAAAACAATTGGCGATTAAAGTAAATCTATTTATATTAATAAATATATTATACATCATATACTTTACCGCAGAGAAGAACTATTTATACTATTAGCGCCTTTTCAGTTAATTGATTATGAACCACGAGCGCATCAACAAGTACCTTTATTATTGACACTTGGCGAGGAACGCGCTGCTTTGCATAAAGCCGTAGAAAGCGGTAATACGGATCTAGTCTATACTGTCATTCTTCATCTCAGAGAAAATATGACACTTGGCGACTTTCAAGTAAGCAGTAATATTTTATTTCAAGCACAGATAATTATGTGTTTTTATAATTGATCTTTAATGCAGATGTCTATAATGCATTGTCCTCTAGCAATGGCATTATATATTAAATATTGTCAGAGCCATAATAGAGAGACATTACGTGATATTTATAATCAATACGATGATTTTCATTCGCAAGCAGTGTGGTTTATCACCGAGAGTTATCAACGAAAAGTTAGTACTCAATCTTTTTGCATTTATAATTGAAAACTTTTTTGTAATATAAAGTCAAGAAAATAAAATACTGCCGCACATTTTTAGAATACGATGTCGAGAGACGCATTACTGCAATCGGCTCAGGAAAATTTTAGATTGGCTCGTAATGATACTAATGCGTCGTTAACAGAAGAACAGATAAAATTATTGAAATATCAGAGATCTTTAGAAGATACGTTACACGAATCGATTGTGGGAAAGCCTTTGCACGATACCGTGAGAATATTATTATTGCGTAACGAGTTGAAATTGGCAGATAAATTACGATCGGAGTATAAAATACCAGATCGGAGGTAGTGTATATTAATTTTTTTTTATAAAACTTTTATATTTAGTGAACTGTATACTGTCTTACATAAATGATATTTTAATACAGATATTGGTGGCTAAAAATACAGTGTTTAGCAGAACAAGGTTTATGGAATGATTTGGAAAAATTCTCTAAAAGCAAAAAGTCTCCTATTGGCTATGAGGTACAATAAATAACCAAATGCATTGTTTTTGCATATATATATATATATGAATTGCATATACCTGAAATCAAAAGTTGTAGGGTCCAAAAAGATCTATTTATTGATTTTATCTTTTTGAACTCTACAATTTTTGATTTCAGGTATCGCCAAGGTCAGCTCAATTACATCGATTTTTTTTAACAAACACCTTACTTTTGATTCCAGAATCTAATAACGTTGGTGTTGATAGCTTTTAATTCCAGAATCTAATAGCGTCTGATGTTGATAGCTTTCCAAAACACTGTAATAAAGTTATTTTTCATTAAATATTTTTCAAATTATAAGGCTTGAAAGTTACTGTATCGTCAGCATTAGCATTACGCAAGGTGTTCAATCGATGGCTAAAAGCTTTTGAGTGTTGTTCAGGATCACGTCTTAGATAACATTTGTTAAAATCAAGGCGAAGTTGGAAGTTATATCTCTTATTTCATTTTGTACGATTTTTGTAAGATTGAAATTAGTAAGAAATATCGGATAGCTAGAATCACACATATTAAAAATTATTGAATACGCATTTCATTTATTTGCATGTTTAATTTTGCTGTGTTTGTACTTCTTATAACCCGTTATAACTTATTATTTTGTACATACACCAATACATTTGGTGAGGTTAGCCACGTGACTTAAATACTAGAAGCTTATTGGTTGAGATTGAAGATTGGAAAAATAGACGGAGCCCTATATTTCAATCTGCAATCTCAATCTCCAATACATAGTCTGATTATGGTTTTACATAATGCTAATGCCAGTAGTATTGTAACTTCCAAGTCTTATAACTTGAAAAATACTTATTAAAAAGAGACTTTATTATAGTATTTTGAAAAGCTCTTGACACCAGCTATTAGATTCTGAAATAAAAAATATGGTGTTTCATTAAAAAAAAGATTTGATCCTTCACCTGATCTCGCGCGCGCGCACGCAAAAAAAACGAATCACTAAATTTTAACACAAATTTTTAATGTTTTTGATAACGTTAACTCATCAATAGCGAAAAATAATTGTATTGAGATAAACTAAAGCTCAAATTAAAGCTTGAACATTCCTGATTGAAGATTCTTCTGATTAAAGATTCTGCTTGCTTGAATATTCATGACTTGAAGTCCTTTAATTTTTTTTTGATAATTTTCCACAATAATTCGTTTCTAAGTTTTTTGAGTTTCCAAGAAAAAGTTGTTCATTTTGTAACACTTTCTTTAAAATGTATAACTTTGTTTAAAAAAAAAATCATTTAAAAAAATATTTAAAATAGATTTGTTTGGAAATAAATGAGTTTAAAAACTCATTAACTTTTATGCCTGGCAATCAATTCCCCTAAACAATGCAATAGTTTGAAGAAACAATTTTTGTCTCTATCTTGCAATGTCCATCTTCAATATCTGTCATTTTGGAATATATTTTATAATACATTTTATGTAACTCAAATTTGATTTTCATCAAAGAAAATGTTTAAGTTTTAATTTGAGTTTTGATTCATCTCAATACAATTATTTTTCGCTGAATTATTAATTTCGCTATTAAAAAATATTAAAAAATTGTTATTAATGGCCTGTTTTTTTGCGGGTGAGTGTATATAACTATACATGCATCTATTTGTTCGTCGATGCGATGAAATAATGTTTCAATAATTTCTATGTTTAAGCCGTTTATAGATGAATGCCTGAAGTATAATGAAAAATTAGAAGCAAGGAAATATTTAGTCAAAGTTAAAGATGATCTCAAAGTGAAGTATTTAGTGAAGTTAAAGTAAGTACTTGAAAAAAAATATTTTTTTTTAAAAGACGTACATAAGATTTACATATAACAATATGACTATCTACTATAATTCTGCAGTTTGCTTAGCGAAGCGGCACAAACAGCATACGAACAAAAAGACGCTTCGGCTCTCACATTTGTGCTGGCACAATGCGGATCATCAGATAGACAATTCGTAGATAAAATCAATATGTTATTAGCTAGTCTAAAAAATTAAGATTTTTTTTATTTGTTTTATAAAAGATAAAGGCATTTATATACAGATAATATAAAATCAGATAATATAAACTAATAATGATCAGATAATATAATCTAATATCTGACACGAACAGTGATCTTAAAAATAATTCTACGGATCAAAGAATGTTCAAGTCTCACAGCTCACATAGATCCTCTATATAAATTAAATATTTATTTTAAGAAATATATATCCCATTAATCAATAAGAAAATGTAAATCTGTTCAGACATTCTGTTTGCTATGTAATCTGTACAAAAATATGAATGTATATCTGCTGTACTAAATAACAACATTTGTAAATGAATTCTGTACATTTATATTGCTTTACAATGCTGTATATATATATATATATACTCACAGGTTTATATATATATATATATATCTCTCTCCCATTACCACCATTATAATATCATACATTATTTACTTTCAAAATGCACATTTTATATATAAAATTAAAAACATATTTTGTATAACTTGAAACAGATTTATCAACTAACTTTTTTGGACCACATAGTTACTTTATATGCTTTTCAATGAGATCTCTTACAATTAATTGTTCAATTTCTTCACCATTATCTAATTGTTCGTTTGTAAGAGACAAAACGTAATTGGTTTCCTTGCTTACAATAATCACTTGTTGCTTTCTAGTTTGCAACATGTTGGCTATTACAAGCTAAAAGCATTCAAAATTTAGAATTATCTTACAGAAAACTCGATACCATTACAATAATAATTACTTACGTTGTGATGATATTTGTTAAGGGCAGTCCTCGCCTTAGAAATCAGCAAGCTTTCATCGGTTTCTAATTTAAATGAAACTACAAATGCTTTTGGTACCCACAAACTAACTAATGGAGCTAAAATCTTTGGTACTAATTGAAGAGATATAGTTGGTGGCCCACTCGAGGAAATCTTATGGATTGACTGAAAAAAATTTTATTGTATATACAATATGTCTGGTAGAGACCATGACAACGCTTACGGGTAGATTTCTGAGATCATTTTGAGATGAAAATCCTAATATTAGAATATCAAGGTATAATTGAATCACAAGCACTTAAAGCTAGTGAATCATATCACCAGTTCACGCGTTCAGATGTAATAGTAAAGTGCTAACCATATTTAAACGCGCAAACTTTAAGCGATAGGATTCGCTAACTTTAAATACTTATAATTCAAAAACTATTATAGCTTTGACGTTCTGATATTAAAATTTTCATTTAAAAATGATCTCAGAAATTTATATATATAGTAATAAAGTAACAGAATATATTATATTTCATGAAATGAGAAAGTTTTTTATGTGTGAATGACATATCTACCATCTCATTGGAAGGAATGTAAAAATCCGAGACCGCTGCTGCTAAATATAATATAGCTTTGTTCTCCAGAGGTGCTAATGCTTGGCAAGCAGATCGCAGCAACCAGAGATATTCAGAGAAAGTTGTAAAAGTAACTTGCAGTAATTTTTTTTCATTAAATGCCTCTCTATATTTTCGCAGTACTGTTGTTACCTTCTGTGTATGTTCTGGCAGTACTGCAACAAAAAAGTATAATAATAACATTTGATTAATGTGGATTAATTTCAAAGATTATGGTTAATTATTCTCTGTAATTCACCTGTGATAACAGGATTTTCATTATTGTCTGATATTTGAAGCAGGTCTAAAAACTTCTGACCTATAAAGTGTCTCGAGAATGGTTCTAAAGATTTAACTCTGAAAATGTAAAAACAAAAGTTTATACATTATCCTATACTTGCTATATAAAAAAGCATTTGAAGCAGTATAAAAATAACAATATAAATTTCTATATATTTTAATTTAATCGCTACTAACGGTGACTATAATCATTCGCCGTTGAGCATTTGCTATGCATTAGATTAAATGACAATGAAATATGTAACGATACAAATTTTGATAAAATATGTAATTTGCAATTTCGTATTATCAAAGCGAGCAATTATCAAAGCGAAAAGTATTACTTTAACTGAAACAATATATTTCCTATGAATTTGTACAAAAATTAATATTATTTATATAAATATAGAAAATACATACACTTTGACTTTATTGTTATAACTACATATTTCGCTCATTTGTAACATACGCACATAATTTGTTATCATATTTATCATGTTTTATTTGTCATCTATTATTTTTTTATTATATATTGTAAAAGAAATATTTTTTCGTCATTAAGAGTCTTTCTTTTGTCCTGATCATCTAAAAGTCTATTCCTGACTCTGCTATACAAGAAGTGTACAAGTTTTATTACCTATACATAAAAATAACTGCGTATCCATACTCCAAAAAGTATTCAGCTGAAACTGAACCTCTTGTACCCGCACTGAAATTATCTACAAATCTCACTGTATTATGTTCCAAGGGTACCGTCGTACCACCACTCTGCAAATCAAATAAACATGATTTCAGTTAAAACGTCGTAGCAAAATCATAGTCAAATCAGCTCTCAAATCCTGGGTGACTTACCGTCACCAATACCACTTTATTACCAGCCTCGAGATGCTTCCTAGTGAATTCCTTCAACGCCTGTTCATTTTGTGCCAAGTCTTGAGGGGGTGGATGCTTCGCATAGAAATCCTCCCATGTTGAAACCATCGTGAATAACGTACTAGAAAGAGCTGCTATATAAGGACAAAGACGATGAAATTACACGGAGATGCTCAATATATGTCACTCATTTGCGATGATACAATTATAAAAACACAAACAGAAAAATAAGTTCAAATCATTAAAATTTCGTAATATTTTGAAATTTAATTTCGACTGATTGTAGAGGGAATAAGTCTTTTTTTTTTTTAATGTTTTCATTCTTTTTCTGTAAGCAACTCCAAAATGACAATTTTTTAGTTATGTCGTTATAGCAAATGAGATACATATTTTTTCAGGACTTATATAATAAAAACTTATCAATGTTATCAAATATATTTACTTTATTATGTATTATATATTAGCGATTATTCATACAGTATCCATTCATACAATTTTTGCGATAACTTCACGCTAACAAATTGTAACAAATACGAACAAATACGAATTGCGATCCGCAAATAAAAACTGACGGAAGCAGAAAGAAAATGAAAAGCGGTTACTAACCTCGATGTATATTTCCCCTGAAAAGGATCAGTTTTACTTCGATCGTCGATCAGTATTTTGCAAGTAACAGTTGCATAAGAAATTCGAAAACCGTTGTGTGTTCTTATATAATAATTATTCACGTGACGTAAGATATCACTCTTCCGAGAATTCTTTCCTGCGAAAAGGAGAGCTTGAGTCTATCCAGACATGATGAATCTGTCTGAATATTCCTTTTCGGTACATATATAAGTAAAAACACGAGATATTGTTCGCAATATATTGTATTTATATCCTTTGTAGAAATTTAATACGCTGAACAAAAATAATTAGTTATTTATTAAGCTGAACAACAGTGTTTTTAATACTCAAAATAAATAATTAATCATTATCTTTCAATATTAAATTGGATTTCTGGAAGGAATACTCGATAAACGAGTAAGTTACTATTGCATAAATTATTCTCATTGAATTTATTTGTATATCTTTAAAATAAGGCTAAAACTTTTATGAAACGATATAGGAAGTTGGTTTCATAATACTATACTAGTAGAGGAAAAGAAAAGAATACATTCCCTATATTAGTATCGCTTACAGGCAACACAGACTTTATTAAATATCAAACTTTCTCTCAAACTAACAAAAAAAAATTAAATTATAATACATGTTCAATGATGTTGAAGATATTCCTTCTGGAAATAATTTGAGACTATTATAGTCCTGTTATTTGGACACAAGAACAATAGTATTGTTCAGAGATGAAAGTTCTTAAAAGTAATTTATAGCAATTATTTATAACAATTTATTCCTATAACAAATACTAGTTTACATATTACAGTTCAATATTCTGGCGCTGGACTCTTTGCATTGCTGATTTCATCTTTTGTTGCATAGAACTGTAACAAGACATAAATATGAGCACATACAGAAGCTGCCTTCTGAGTAATCGATATATTTGGAATTATTCTAAGCTTACTTTAGATGATCGCCTTTCAAGATGGAATTTTATATACAATTTCATATATGTACATATATATAAATTTTAATATATTTATGTATACATATGTATGTGATTTTTCAAACATTTTTTATAGACCTCAGAGATAGGGCAAAATAGTAAATAAATATCCTGAATTCCGATATGGATCATCCAAAATAAGTTTGGAGTAGTGAAATAGTAATTGTCACACTCGGAACCTTATATTGTTTAGTTTTATAGTCATTCCATGGTTCAGACTCTTTCTTGTTTAGCCAGGAAACATCGGGATTACGTGATGCTAGACGGATCGTGTAGAACGCCGCACCAAAGGCTCCTAAGCCTACGCAAAAATACAATGGAAGCAGCTGAAAAAAGAAAAAGATATTGAGTGGAGTATCGCAACATTCCTCAACGCAAAATAAACTGCAAGTCTGGTGTGCTCACAGCTGGATGCTGCTTCATGCTCGTAAAACTTAATCCTTTCATTTTCATGATTGCGGTGTTTAGCGGGAAGATCCCTGCAATTCTTCAATAAAACGAATCAGACAAATATACTTCCACACACTGCTTTACAGAACTGTGCAGAACTCACTAACCCAGCAGCATCCAGTAGGGATGTCAGATTTGGTCAGATTCTTTAGTCTAGTTTACATTGGTTTACATCGTGCATTTGATACGGGTATTTACTAGTAACTTTCTATTGAGTGCATCCAGAGACCCTATTTTGAGCATATGAAATAATTTTTGCCATGAAGGATAGAGACTAAGGAGACCAAACTATAGTTTGAAAAGTGTGGACAAAATCAGGTTTCTAAATTGATATGGGTGGTGCTCGGTAGGCGGATTTCTTCAAATCGCAAAACTCCTCATATATGCTTAAACTGGAAACACAATGAAAAGCACAGACAATAGAAACAGGAAATAAGAGATTTCAACTTATCAGAAACCATGAATAATAGAATGGACGCTTTCTGATAGGTTGAAATCTTGTGTCTTCAACACACAACCGAACACACATAAGAATAAAGATGTTATTCTTTGACATCATGCTCTGGCAATAACAAGAAGACATAAATTCACATAAATTGTCATTAAAACTGAATGAAGAATGGAGCATTCTTCATATAAAATTGGTATCTACCATGCGAGAACGGTGTTATTAAAGTCACTAGATTATAAAATACCGTAATTGGCCGAAATGCACAAAATACGATTTGAAATACACCAGGGTCCATATTGGGTCAATTGGATGTAGCTAACCGTACATTTTCGAAACATTTTCAAGCATCAATCTCGAGGTTGAAGACACAAATTCATCATCATTTGATATTAATACAATAAAAACCTTTTCAAGATTTTTTTCCAGTTTATCATCAGTATCGTGTTGTTAAAGTTAATAATGCCAAGTTGTTGTGTGTCTAAGTGCAAAAACAGTAAAAGATTACACGTTATTTGGCGTGCTAAAAGACGAACAAAAACTTCTTTCCAGGAGGAAAGAAGAAGAAGAAAAATGAATTGGTGCAAAAAAGCCAAAAAGAATAGGACCCCTGGGGCCCTATTCGATGTATCTCTTTCCGTAGTCGAGAGCGGAATACACATATTCCGTCATTTTTGTTGCGTTGAAACGTGAATACCCATGTAGCGTAAAAAACACTTTGCGGACTTTACGCAACCAATCACATGTCGAGCGAGTTTGCACTAACTTCGGTTGAAGTAATGATGTTTCCTATTAGTAGAGCGTAACGTCAACCAATAGCAAAGCATTTTCTAATCCAAGTTGGTGCAATCCCGGTCGGACCAAAAACGCTATTAGATTCTGATCCAGTTTAAACTCTTGATCGTGAAAATTAGGCCATAGATAATTAATTAACATTGCATGGATGTATACACGGCATGTGCATATCCATATTAATATACAAATGTGTACGTATATTATGCAGCTGCGTGCACAAAAGCTATTCTTCTAAAAATTATTGAGAAATATGGAACGTGATTGGTTCCACTCTCGTTTCGCATTACATTATTTCGCTGCATGGGTATGCACCGTTAGAGCGCGTTCACATCTTGATAGAAAAGCAGAAAGCGGAAAAGCAGTAGCCAATCAAAATTTGTGCTGGTAGTAAGTAGTACAAAAAGTCGAAATTGTAGACTACCAGCTAGAGTTCTGATTGGCTGTTACTTTTCCGCTTTCCGCTTTTCCATCGAGATGTGAACGCGCCTTTAGAGTGCCATTACATGAAGCGCGGAAATGCAGAAACGTGGAAAACAAAATTAACTAAACTTTATTAGATTTCCGCGTTTTGTTCCGTCTGTTTTGATCTCCTATTATTACATGGAGTCCAATTTGAACGGAAAAGCGGAACGAGGAATAATAAATTATTAATTTTTATCAATATTTATTGATTAAAATGCTCATATTCAATACATAAGTTGAAACGATAAGCATATTAATAAAAATTGCAATGAATTAAGTGAATATAATTTTTTCAAATAAATACAAAAGTGTATCTGTCACTATACCGTTCCGCTTTTTTGCGGAAATTATGCTCCATGTAATATTAAAAGATCAAAACAGGCGGAACAGAAATCCCACGGAAGTGTAGAAATCTAGTAAAGTTTAATTAATTTTGTCTTCCGCGTTTCCGCGTTTCATGTAATAACATCCTAAGGCCACAGCGCCTTTTGCGTGTGATGGCTTTTAGTACAAGAACTTTATCTAAAAAGAACAAACCTAAAATTACAAAAGTGAGCAAATTCACTAGAATATTTATAATTTTATTGGTTAAAATCTAGTGAATTTGCTCATTTTTGTAATTTTCATCTCTTTCAAGAATCTCAAGAAATATACAACCAATGCCCTTTTGCAGATATAAAAAAACAGATCTTTAATAAATAAATGTGCATTGATGTGCATCGGTACATTAGGTGCATGTAGTTTTATTACATTTATCAATTGAAGGGCCATTGTTATCAAGTTAACCCACATTCGTGCTGATTCATACGATCTGGAGATCTGCAAGGCCACAAAGAGATTTTTTAAACGGCTCGGTTGGTCTCTCTCGAGCTCGTAAGTACAATATTATCGTTCTTCTTCTTCTTCTTCGTGTGAGAATAGTCCCTTTAACACAGAGTCGATACGGTCAGAATCGAAAATGCCGTCTATACAGTGAGTAACAAAAAACAATATAATAAAAGCAGAACACGAAAGTCTAAAAGAGTAGCATAAACTCAATTGCGCGTTTGAAGCCGATCAAATTTTTCAAAAATAACGCAATAACACGTCCGATCAAGTCGGTAGACAGATTGCTTTTGATCTTTTTTGATTGTTGCTCTCTCAAAGTTATTATTATATATTTATACATCGTTATTTATACTGTATTATACGATCCTTGATGTATCTGATAAAAGATTTCGAATTTTTAAAACACAGTCCAAAAAGGTCAAAACATTTTGAAAATTTTAAAGTCCCGATAGAAGACATCGCTTTTCGTTTCATCTTTTAACATCTTTGTATTTGATAAATAAACAAAAAAATCTAGAAATTTATTATACGTTGACGAATAGAATATGAGAATGACAAAAATCGTTGTTTGATATTATAAAAAAACAAGATAATATAAAGAAGAGAAACTTGTGCAGCCTATAATGATTTTCCAAGGTTAAGATATTTATCAAAAATTTAAGACATTTTTTTTCATAAAGGAATAAATCTAGCATACTAATGTATCTTCTAAATGTTTGGTCAATGTTTTGTGGAAAAGAGGAAAGACGGCAAGATCGTGGATTTCTTCCTATCTACAATGTATATGTTTTCTATTTTTGTCAGGTGGTATAACATGTTAAATCCGTCGGAACGCATCAGTTATATGCAAGACAGCAGCAGTGATACAGAGACTGATTACAAAGAGGAAAGGCATCGCTTGTACAAAAATAGGCTAAGGTAATTCGTGAATAGTCTTACTTCAATTTTAATTATTCAGTTTTAGATTCTGCAATATTATAGAGAGAATGCTCATGGAATGATTTATATAAATTCATAGTAACGAATTTATTACCATTTCTGTTATATGTTACAAAACAAGGATGTCATTATTAACATTTAAAAAGTTGAGAAGTCAAGTTAGAGTCTATTGTTTCATTTAAGTTTATAAGAACAAAAAGAGACTAGTTCTGATTTTAGTTTTTACAATGTCTTAGATTTTTCAGCATGCACTTAGATTTGCTCTTACAAATTCATTATTTGCATGCAAATTATTCTTTATATATAAACTTATATGCATTTTGCCAATTGGCAAAAAATTCATTAAATATTCATTAAATATAATTATACTTAAAGCTTACATAAATGAAGAAAATATACACATTGAAATTTTGTCTTTAATATTTATATTTTGATTTGTATACAAATATATACATACATATGCATATTGTCATATATATTATAAATATATAATTACATTCGAGCATATATATCTATGTGTCCATAAAGATTAGGGCCAAAGTTAAATAATTATTTAATATAAGGAAATCAGTTATATATGTCGTCAAACTCATAACATTGAGTGCTCTTTGAAAAGTTTTAGCTATAGGTTAATGTTTATTAAAAAGTTATTAACAATTAAGTTAATTATTCTCTCTGATATTTTGAGCAGTAATATAACATTATTTGGTATATTTCGAGTTGAATCTCGCTTTGTGTGGAAAGTTGTAAGCCCACATGGAATCTTACTTTGCGTTGTAAAATGCAGGTGTGTATACAGTGAGTTCTATCTCTTCTGTGGAGTGCTCCACTACAAAAAAAATTAAACATGTAGGTTTGGATTTAATCTTGCTTTGCATGAAACGTTCTAAACTGACATGAAACAAGGTTCCATGAACATTTACAGCTTTTCATGTGAAGCAAGGTTCAACCCAACTTATGTCTAGTTTTTTTTTTGTAATGAAATCTTCCCTCTCTCCCTATAGGTGAGCAGAATCCATTATTCCCCTTTCCTCATTTTAATTTTCCTTTTTACCTTTTAAAAGCTCTATATACTTAAATAATTTGTATATACAATTTTAATATTCTATTGTCATTTTTCCTCCACTGTTTCCTTCTTCTAGATTCTCAAAATTTCGGTTTGTAAATTATAATCTGAATTCTTAAAAATAAACATTTATTAAAAATATATAAGAAAATTTTTCTATATAAACTAGCTTAGAATTTAATACTAATTATTTCTATTAATTAATATTGATTATTAAAAATAATTAGGAATGCACCAGATCGTAAAATTATCCGATATCCGGTAATTTTACGATTCGGTGTATTCTTAATTATTTAATAATTGACTGCAAATATTATAAAGAATTGTTAAATTGTCAAATTCTTTTCGGATATCCGGTAGGGCAATTATCTAATTAGATACCATATTTTCTCGGATATCCTGCCGGATATCTGATGAAAAAAGACTTAAAAAAAAAATAAATAGCGACAATAATTTTCTTTATCTTCTCAATATGAAAGAAAAGAAGGAAAAATGATGTACAAGCAATTTAACTGAAAAAGAATAATTCTGTATTAATGACGCAAACTATCAATATAAAATTTCAACAGGATATATTATCGAATACCAATGATATCCAGTTATCCGGATGAATAATAAAAAAATACCAGAAATGCTGGATATTTCTCAGATATCCGATGCATCTCTATAAATAATTATTAAATCTTTAAATCTAATATCTTATTTTAATATCACAAAAAAAGTGACAAAGAAAAAAAGTAACGAATTGTTCCTTATATTGCAGTAAATGGTACGAGGTACATTTTTACAAAAATAACAGTAATGATAATGCATTATTTTATAAAGTAATTCAATCTTGATAATTATCTTGTGTTTTTTTAACATGTCTGTTGTGTAACGTGTGTGAAGTTGGCTCTATACTTTTTGAATTTTTTATTTTTATAATATATAATTTTATATTTTATTAATTGTGCTGCATTGTGCTACACGTTTGTTGCAACTTAATAACATGAAGCGTTTTCCAAAAAATAAAACCTAATTTTTGCTGGCTCGCACTTTTCGAATCTCATATTTTTCTTCATTGTGTCATATTGTACTACGTTTGTGCTGACTTGTACTACAAATAAAAATTCGATAACTCAAACAAAATTGCAAAAAATGAATAACAAATTTTGCTGACTCCGTACTTGTTTGCGATTAAGTTAAAATTCTTTTTTTTAAATTGGCATTAATTTATGTTGTATTGTGTCGTTGGAAAAATTTCAATATCTTATTCCTATAAGGAAGTTTTTTTTAGTCACTACAACCATATTGAATGATAACATCAAAAGCGAGAAATGACATGTTAATTTTATTACGTGCCATTTATAAATAAAGATAATTTGGATAATAATGAGATTGAAACATTTGTAAAAATGGATGAAAACTATGCTTATCCTCTCTGACAATCAGTAAATAATTATAAAAAGTGATAAAAAAGGCACGTGTAAGTAAAAATAATCAATAAGTTAACCAATTTAAAAAAAAGATTTAAGTTAATTACAAAAAAGGGCTAGTGAATATTTTTTATTCTTTTTTTTTTTGCAATTTTTGTTTGAGCTATCGACTTTTTTTGTGATTCAAGTCAGTACAAATGTTGTGCTGTAATACAGCATAATCAAGAAAAATTCGAAAAGTGCGAGGTCAACTTCATACACGTTGTTCTGTACGTGCATGCATGCACATACTGAATATAATAATTGATAATATAATTATTGAATTTTTTCCTATGATATAAATATATGAATATCGACTTTGCACCAAATAATGATTATGAATATAAATATTATATAAATATAAATAACACAGTACAACAAAAATCGATTTTTTTTCTTCCATGAAAAAATCAAAGAGATTCTGAAAATAGATGTAAAAAAAATACCCGTTTCTCGACGTTTTATCAGATTATAAAGTTAATGTTTTTAAGTATCATATCAAATATCTTTTTATAATACTGTACAGGTTTTCTTCCATGAAAAATTCAAAGAGATTCTGAAAGTAGGTATTTTAGGAAAGCATACTCGTGTTTCGATACTGTCTTACTTCGCCATTGTTGAAAATTTTCTGTGCAATAAAAGAGTCGACAATTACAAAAAAAAAATTGTTGCTGAAATGATTTCGATTTTTCATGCAATGAAAGTTAACATATCACTCAAAATATACTTTCTTCATAATCATTTGGATTTTTTTCCACAAAATTTGAGTGAATTCAATGATGAACATGATGAAGTATTTCACTAAGACATTGCGATTATTGAGAAAAACTTCAAAAGAAGAGACATCAGACACATGCTTGGTGAATACTGTTATTCGTGATACAAAACGGCAAATCAAACAATCAAGATTCTTATAATAATTTATAATTATAATTGTATTATTATACAAAAATTTGAAAATATATGAAAAAAAATAATTCTCAGTTGTTTTTTTTTGTATTTGGACTTATCGCATAATTTCATACAAAAACGTCAATTATTTATTTTAAAAAATTATGTAATTTAAAATAATTGTAAAAAGTTAATATGAAGCAAATACGATAAATGACTGCATAAAAATGACTTGATCTGATAAAACGCCGAGACACTGGTATTTTTTTACATCTATTTTCAGAATTTCTTTGATTTTTTTCCCCATGGGAGGGAATGTGTGTTGTACTGTGTAATATAATATATATAATATATATTATATAATAATGGTTATGCATATAATAAACAAAGATTATTTTCATAACTTAATTTCGTAATTTAATTTCTCATTATTAACATACTTAAAACGTCATTTTCTCTTTTATCACGGAAATTTGGCTTTAATTGCACTACTGATATTTTATAATATGTATGTACATATATCAAATGTTCCGGAAGCAACAAATTTTTATGAAGTAGCGTAGTAGAAACATCGCACAGGTGCTTGTATAAGTAGCCGATTAGTATAAGATTACGTGGTTGTTCTGTGCATGTATAGTTGTGGTGGCTCGTCGAAGCCGAAATCTTGTCTGGTACAGAGGGACAGCAGTGGCGATCGGCATTGTCATTCTTTCAATTCCGGCAGAAATTCGCAGGTCACGAAATTCATTAACAGGTAAATGCACGTAATAGATAAAAGCAAGAGTATACTTCTTATATACGCGCTTATTTCTTTCTAATTTTGAAAATATAATTCAGAAGTTTTACTTAATTAAAATTGATATTAATGAAATAAAATATGGTACTTTTTAAGATTGGTATAAAATTTTTATTTTATTAAATTTTGAACTGCCATTTAAAAATTGTATATACATATATTTAATAACTGTATGAAATTTATTTTAATTTTTTTTTTTTCATAAAGTATTTTAAATGACCTTTTTAAAAAATGATAATATATCTTAATCTATATAATTAACAGTTCTCTTTCTATATAAAATTTAGAATATATACTGAATGTTCTCACGGCGTAACGGTCCGTACTATTTTTTAGATTTTAGACACTTTTATCAACAGTTATCAAGACAAGTTGAAAAGTGAATGTTCATGCAGGCAAAAACATACGATAAAAAATTTGAAAAAGTTTTTTAAATAAAAAATCAAGGTCATCTTGAATTTTTTAAATAGCGTTTTACAATTTTTTTTCCTCAGTATTGTAGTGGTCTTCAAGACGAATTCAATATACTATCGAGAATCGCTTTTATTGATGTTTTATTGATTTTATACACATAATATAATAAACATATAATATGTATCATAAATGTCCATTAATAAAAAGAGACTATATGTACAAATTTTATTGATTTTTAATTTTATTGCTATTTTATCCATTTTACCCAGTCCATAGTGCACAAATAGTTCAAAATTAAATATTTTCAGGATATTTTAAAAAATCAGATATATAAGTACATACAGACCAGTCCGATGGTTGGCACATTTCCAGATTTATTTCCGATGAATGTTTTCTTGTAGGATCATTTAAAATCTTTTGTGTATTAAACACCAATAAATAATATTCAAAATCTTTGAGGAAAAATGATTATAGGCAAATTTGGATCAAAATAGTGTAATAGCTGCTATGCATAATAATTTGTTAAAAAAAGCAGAAGTCAGATAATTTGTTAAAAAAATAAGAAAGCGATTTGAATATTTGCTTATATAAATTATAAATCAATAAAATTTGTTTACATAATCTTTCTTTATTAATGATATTTATGATACATATTACGTGTGTATAAAATCAATAAAAATAACGTTATTAACAGCATTAAATTCTTGAAGATCTCAATATAATAGAAAAAAATTGTATGATATTACTTAAAATATTTAAAATAACCTTGACTTTTTTTATTAAAAAAAGTTTTAAAATTTTTTTTATCGCATGTTGTAGATCCTATGAAACACATGTACAATATTCAGCTTTTTAACTTTTCTTTTTAAGGGGATGCTAGAGTGACTAAATTATTGACGTTACAGTTGTATAAAAGTTTCCAAATAAATTGAGGAAATAAAGAATTCTTTTACAGGATTAAAGTAGACGCAAAATTATAGGTGATATAGTGGACTTTATGCTAAAATAAAAAAAAAATTAAGTAAATTTTTAACTTTTTTCGATTTTAGTATAAAGTCTACTGCACCACCTTCTAATTTTGCATCTACTTTAATCCTGTAAAAAAATTTCTAATTTCGTTCAATCAATTCGGAGATTTTTATACGACTGTAAAGTCAGTAATTTGGTCATTCCAATCCTTTTAATTGTCGGAAGTATCTAAAAAAATCGTGTGGACTGTTACAGTGAACACCCTGTACATATTATAGATTATACAGGGAATCTTCAAAAAATCCAGAAATGTTAAAATATATCGAAAATAAAGCATTTTTCAGAAAAATGTTTCAAACAAAAGTTATAAGATTTAAAAAGATCTATTTATTGATTACATTTGTTTGACCCTGGGTAGTGTCGCCAAGATTAGGTCAAAGTTACTCCAATTTTTTAAAATAAAAATCCCTCATTTTTTGTTGCATGTTTTGTAGTATACCTCGAACTTATCAAAATACTACAATAAAATTATTTTTTAAAATTACTTTTTTTTTAATTGTAAGGCTTGAAAGTTATTGCGACATTACCATTATATCTAAGGGGTCCAACTAATTTGATTGATGGTTAAAACTTTTTAAATGCTGTTCAAGGTCATGATCTCGTACGTCAAGATCATGAGTAGCTTTTAAAAGATTCTAATTATCAGTCAAGCATCTTAAATAATGCTAATGTCGGCGGTATTGTAACTTTTAAGCCTCAACTTGAAAAGTATCTAAAAAATAATGTTATTGTAATGTTTTGAAAAGCTCTCAAAGTATGTTATAAGAATATGCAACAAAAATTCGGAGTTTTTATTTAAAAAAATTGACTTTTATCTGATCTTGGAGACGCCACCCAGAATCAAATAAAGATTAGTAAATAGATCTTTTTAAATCCCTCAACTTTTGTCTGAAACATTTTTTTGAAAAATGCTTTGTTTTCGAGATATTTTATCGGATTTTTATTTTTCCGGACTTTTTGGGGACCATATGTATATATGTATATATTATATTTTATGTTATAGTCAAAGTGTTAACTTTAGTAAATGTATTACTAATCAATACTTTGACTATGGCAGATTACAGTAAGTATATACATTTACTGAGTTAACACTTTGATTATGATACATACATACACACATATATATATATATATATATATATATGTGTGTGTGTGTATATATATATATATATACATATATAATATTGTAGAACAGTATATATTATAGAGTAATAGGAAGCTTTCGTAGAGATAATATAATATAAATGATACATTATAAACAATATATATTATAAAAATGATAAATTTTATTTATTTTTTATTCTATTTCAATCTATGTAATATCATTATAAATATTTATGTTTTATTTATTTTATTTATTTATTTTAAATAACAGGAGAAACAAATTCTAAATGTCTATTTAGAAATGTTTATTTCAAACAATTATATTCTTTTCTTCTTATGACCTCTCAAAATCAAGCTACCGGGCTTCGTAATTTATAAGGTAGGTCTTATAAACCGTGTTGATATCATTATCATGTATCTATCAAAAAGTTTCCTACCCTTGAAAAAATATATGCTAGATATATTCATTAAGAGAGATTAATTTTTTCCACAGAATTCGTTCAAACGTCAATATGGCCAAACAGAGTCAGACTCAAAATCAAAACAGTAGCAAAGACAACACAATGTCGGGAGGATCGGCGACAGCATCTATTACTGGAGTTAGCAATCAGCCAGCTAGCGATGAAAGAATTACACTCATTGTCGATAATACCAGGTGATAATAGAATTAATAAATTAATAAAATATGTATACTTTATAAAATATATATATATATGTATAATATTAATTAATTAAAAATATAAAATTAAGATGTACATATTTCAGTTAAATCTTAATGTTTTTAACGAGCTGTAATATAATATAGTGTTACTTTCTGTAGAGAGCTAAAAGCTTTAGAAAGCTACTTTTACATTATTAAAAAATTATAATTATCATTATATATCTCAGAAAAGAAGCTGCCTTTGATAAAAAACGTATGCTATATCATTTTAACCTCATTTAACATTTGATGAACAACAAGGAAAATGGAATGCAGTCAAAATATATTGCTGAAGGACATTCCAATTTAGTTATTCTTTTAGTTTATTGATTTTAAATTCTCTCTTCTCTTTATTAAGCCCATGCATAATTTGCAAACGCAGATTCAGAATGAAAATTGTATTTATTTTTTCATTGCGGTTGGTTTTCATCTGCATGTATTTTGCGTGCGGTAATTGTCATTCTGCGTCAGCATTTGCCAACTACGTTTTACGATTTGCAAATTATATAAAGGCACTCTTAAATCTATTTGCATTTTGATCTTTTCTTGTTTCAGATTTATTGTTGATCCGGCTTTATTCACAGCGCATCCCAATACAATGTTGGGTCGTATGTTCAGTTCAGGTGTAGAATATGCTCAACCTAATGAACGTGGAGAGTATGAGGTTGCCGATGGCATTTCTGCCATGGTTTTCCGCGCTATCCTAGAGTATTATAAGGGCGGAGTAATTCGGTGTCCCCCGACTGTAAGTGTTCAAGAACTACGAGAAGCTTGCGACTATCTGCTAGTGCCTTTTGATGCTAGCACTGTAAAATGTCAAAATCTCAGTAAGTATTATGAACAAAAAAAATATTTGTATATATGTATATGTGTGTATAGCTTTATTAATTTTGTTGCATAACTTTCTTTAAATTTTAAGAAGTTTATATTCTTTTTTTATTATAAGTGTATAAGTATTATATTTTTTATTATATAAGCAATTAATATATAAAGTATGATAATAAAAAATATATAAATACAAAAATAATAAATAAAAACAAATCATATATTAGGTGTTGGAATTAATTCGTAGCGTTTTACAAGTGATGGGAAGTACTTTCATTAATGTATTTTTTAATGCTCATGTGAAATAAATAACATTCTTTCATTAAAAAACGCTACGAATTAATTCCAACACCTAATAATATTATATAACAAATATTTTTTGTGTACAAAATTGTGATTTAATTAATCAGACGTCTCAAGAGTGTGAACATCTTAAGAACATTTTAAGATTGAATTAATTATAATTGAAGAAAATCATGTATATAAATGGAAAAAAATATTAAACTAATAGAAAATTGATTTATTTTTTATAAGAATTTTCAAAATTAAAAAGTTTGTTGTTGCAGGAGGATTGCTACACGAATTGTCGAATGAAGGTGCACGCTGCCAGTTCGAAGTATTCTTGGAGGACTTGATTTTACCATTGATGGTGAACAGTGCACGACGCGGTGATCGCGAATGCCACATTGTTGTCTTGCTCGAAGACGATGTTGTCGATTGGGATGAGGAGTATCCACCTCAAATGGGAGAAGAATATTCCCAAAGTAAGTAAATCGGATTTTTTTACATATATATCAGAAGTATTCACATATTATGTATCTCTAGTTTTAAAACATTTATATGTATCTCTAGCTAAATTGAGAATTCTATTGTAAAAATGAATAAATATTTGGAATTCCTCATTCTTAACTTCTGACTGTTTTATATTATAATTTGTATACAAAAATATTAAATTTGGATAGTATGTCACTTTCACAACTTAATTTTATATAAATAATTTAACAATATAAAGTGTTTTATAAGTGTACTGTTAAATTATTTTATTCATTAAAAACCAAATATTACAATATTATGAATACTTTGTGTAGTATAATTTACTTAAAATAATTCTCTTAAATCTTCTTTTTGCATAGATATTTTTTATATAGTTCGTATAATTTGCTATAAGTAACTTTCAAAAGCTTTAAGAAAATACATGCAACTTTTTTAGCTATGAAATACAGTAAGTGAAAGTTAATTTTACACATTATCACTGTGTTTAATGCAAAATCGATTAGCTTTGTCTTTAAAGGTGCATAATCTCCATTAGTTCCACCTGTTTTCTTCAACAATGAATGCTCAAGGTAGCTTGCGATATTAATACGATCCTGTGTGCCATATATTTAACCGCTCACACACTTAGGAAGTGTTGGAATTTATATAGCGAACTGAAATTTGTGTGCAACTTAACTAATAAACTTCAAATACTATCATAAAGACGTAATTACTATAGATATATAAATAAACATTAAAAAATTTTATTATTATATTTGATTAATTCAAATTTATTACTTTTCAATTTACTCCTTTTCTCTGGTTCTTTTCATTTTCTAAAGGTTGAACTTTACATTTTAAACATGGGTTATTTCATGTCATACTTTTTTATTTTCAGCTGTCAATAGTACGGCAATGTATCGCTTTTTTAAATATATCGAGAACCGAGACGTGGCTAAGCAAGTAATGAAAGAGCGCGGTCTCAAAAAAATCCGTTTAGGCATCGAGGGTTATCCGACTTATAAAGAGAAAGTGAAGAAACGCGCCGGTGGTCGCGCTGAGGTCATATACAATTATGTTCAGCGACCCTTTATCCACATGTCTTGGGAAAAAGAAGAGGCCAAGAGTCGTCACGTTGACTTTCAGTGTGTTAAGTCCAAATCAGTGACGAATCTCGCTGAAGCCACAGCCGATCCTGTTCTGGATGCTGCTGGAAATCCTATGCTTCTTCAGGTTGCTGAAGGGGCAGTCTCTCAACCAGAAGTGGTTGGGCTTCCTATGGGTTCGGATGCTGATGTGGATGGACCAATGGGACCTGGCGATCAAGACTTGGGCCCATTACCATCTGATGAGTTACCATAAAAGATAAAAATAAGTTAGGACTGGATTTAGAAATCCCAAAAAAGGAAACGAACTTTAAAAACATATTTATAAAATCTTTAAAGAAATTCTTGAAAAAAATCTTGTAATTTATTATGAAGAATGGAAATTGAATTCTGGACACGACTGTACTAGATTGTTAAATAAAAGACTGAAGTGCATTTGACTTTGAATCGTTACAAATTTAACTTCGAAGACTTTGGAATCCAGTGGATCTTGATGACAAAAAATGTTATACCCTGAGAATTTCCTAGGATGCGTATCCTGAAAGTTTAAAAAAAGGAGCGAATCTATTATTTACGACGTAATTTCCATATGATACAGATCTATGCAATTCCATTCAAAGAAATATTTATTTATATTGAATGATTCACAGAAAAAAAAATTTTTTAATTGTATTATTTTGTGGACAAAATTTCATTTGTTGTATTAATATTCTTGCTATTATTATTGTATGGATTTTTTTAGGTTTTTGATATCACATATTTGTGCGACTATATGATCGAAACAAGATGTATCGAAAGACTTACGGCGCCATGCACTTCAGTCTTCATGATTCAATGTTTGATTTTGTTCTCGGTTTCTTTTTCTCTTGAATCTATACGATTCTATTCAAAAAAATTTACAGAAATCAAAAGATATATAAAAAGGAATATTTTTAATTAATAATGATGCAATTCTTTTGTCTTTGTATTGTTCTTCAAGGTATGTACTGTATTTTAGAAAAAAGACTTATATTAAGATTGAACATGAATTTCTTCGCATATTTTGCGATTTTTTGCAATTTTATGTATATAAACGTTTATATGTGTGTGTAATTATGTGTGTGTATGCGCATATGGCAATTTGCAAAATGCGCGCGCGCGTGTGTGTATGTGCGTAAGCGCGTATACACACACGGTCTGACAATAAAGTTCCCGAATTGTATTAGTAAAAAAGTACAATAATAAAATATAGTAATAAAAAAGTACAAAAATAACAAACTGTTTTATATTTTTCAAAGTAGTTATGCATAATAAACTTTTTTAAATTTTTTATACAAAGCCTCAAAACTTTCTTTTTTTAAGTCGCATAGTTTAAATGCTATTCTGAGAGCATTTGTTACATTTCTCTGAATATCCTCGATGTCTTGAAAATATTTTCCTTTCATAATGTTTTTGAATTTTGAGAACAGCATAAAATCCAAAAGAGACAGATCCGGTTAATAAAATGAGCTATCTTAATAACCTCTTTCTTGGTTAAAACGATGGTATTGGGTACAGGGATATTGTTATGTAACTTTTTTGACTAAGAAAAGCGTTGTTGATATTAGTCATCTCTTCGTCCAACTCTTTCGAATTTTATGCTATTTCCAAAGCTCGAAAACATCATGAAAGATAAACATTTTCAAAACATCAGATGTTTAGAAGAATGTCTAGATAGAAGAACTCTAAATAGTGTTCCAATTACTTTAAAAAATGTTTTGAAGCTTTGTAACAAAGATGTCAAGCATATTGATGTTATGAAGAATTACTTTAAACATTTTAAAATAAATTTATAAAATAGAATTTATTGAAAAATATTAACATTTTGTTATCTGAGATGTTTGTGTTTCTTTTATTGTTGCAGTCTGGGAACTTTATAATAGCGCGTGGTTTGGATTCTGAACGTAATAACAAGACTGTCCCCGCTTAACTTCTAACTCACGAAATTCGAGGCCGTATTGGGGCTTGCGATTTTACCACTATTCTATTTGCTATTCATATACGTTTAGTACGTATGGAAGGGATGTTGTACGCTATTTCAAAGTTCGCTATTACGAAGTTTCAATGTATATAGATTTTTTTGTATTATGTGTATAATTGCAAATATGATCGATGTTATTATCGCATCTTTTACTACCATCGGTCTTTCCCGTTTTATACTATTATATTATAATCAATAAAGTTGATTATGTGATTTTTCTCAATAAATAAATTTTTGCCCTTTTTAGCCCTTAAAATTAATTTTTCTTTTATATGTTACAATTTTCTTAAAGAGTACTATATTATTAAAGTATTCTCTAAAATGAAAAATTCGTCAGAAATATATAAAAAATTTAAAAACAAATTTATAGATAAGCAATATTGGGCTTACAATTACATGATTTTATAGATTTATTTTAAGATGTTTAATCTATCTTTATATATATAAATTCTTAAGACTTTTTGAACGTAAAATATATTGTTTTTTACAATTTTATATTTAACTTTAACTCTTAATTTGACAATGTTCTTGTTTTAAAGAGAAAGTTAAAAACACACGTTATACATAAAAGAATACTGTAAAATATTGATACACACATAGACGCAACATTCTAGATGGAGCTTTCATCCTTATCTACACAAATAGAATATATCTTTCATTATTACTTTGCAAAGTATATTTCAGTACAGTTAATAAAATCAATTTTTAATATATCAAATGACTAATTATAATGATTAAAATCATTATAAGGACTTCCATCAATCCCTTCCCCTTATCTGCTCTTTTCATCTCTCTTTTAGGCTTAGTAGGTCGTCAGAAAGGAAGTCGTTCGCCGACCCGGGGGAGGCGCAGGCGCTATTAGAAGGTTGGACGATCAATAAGGGACGTACTACCCCCGGCGACGACCTCAGGAGGGCAGGAGATCAGTAGCGTACGGACGCGCGAGAGGTGCACGACGAGGGTGCGTGCGTGGGGTGTGTGCGCATAGAGGGTGAGTCGCGAGTGAGCGAGGGCAAGTGAGAGCAAAACTGCCCCTCCTCCTCCTCTACCCCCGGCGCTGCGGGAAAAACTCGCTTCAGCATGCAACCACCGCCGAGAAAAGTAAGAGGAAGTCATTGCGTACTCGAGAACTCGCTCCCAATCAGCGGGTTGTAACTCCCTAATCTTATAGAGTTGACTTTTCATGCTTGTAGGTAGGGGAGAAAGGTTTTTACGTCAAGTGTATTCGAAACACAAGAATCATCTTCTTGCATTGTAATTACACAAGAAAATTGACCTTATATTAGGTGTCAAATGTAAGGATCGTTTTCCTATGCTGAGGCTGTAAAAAAATAAACTTGAATTTTCATCTTTTAATCTCTATATAAAATAATACTGTTTTTTTGCACAATTTTTAATAATATAATTATACTTTTATTAATAATAAATGATATAAAACCAAAAGCACAAAAATAATAATGAAATACATAAATTCAAGGATCCATGTTTTTTTTCTTCCACTGAAAGATTTTGGAGAATTATTGCAACAATTTTAATCTATTAATAATATTAATATTTATAAAATTGATAGTGGTTGAGTAAAATTGAGAGATCCGTTAATATTAATATATTAATCTCAGAACGAAAAAAATAAAAATAATACTATAATACAATAATAGAATGACAGATAGAGAAATCTATTTAATAATTACATTAACATTGAAATTCTGTGAAATTATGCCAATCTTAACTGATAATTCAAACGAGGATGTTCTTTAGAAAAAAAATAGAAAGACAGAGTGCGAAGACATTAATAAAATGAAGTGACAAAGAAGCAAAAGATAATGCGCGTCCAATATAATCCCTATTAACACCTTTATGTCGTAATTTTGCGAGCAATCTTTGATACTTCCGATATTATCTTATGTATCTTTAGTATAGAAGCAAGACATATCTCTACAAAATCTACGAAATTAAAAAAAAATGGCAGAGTGATAGTATAATTTCGAGGAAATGTTTTTATCGATTTTGGCAAAAGGATTTGAGCAATGTGTATTTCATAATATATTACGTTACGTTACTAAATGTATAATATAAATGTTATTAATAGTAATTATTATAAATGCTAGTTTATAAGTATATATATTTCATAGATTTATGTTTAATTCTTACACATTTATTGGTAATTATGCAATTTTAAATAATAATTATAATTATTTGTGAAATGTATTTGATCGCAATTCGTAATTGTGTCTCGGAAAATACGATTAATTTCGAGTTATAAAGCGGTGTTCGTTTTTTGCAGAAGAATTTTTTATTTATCCATGTGCATGTATATATGCACGTATATGCATACGTATATAAATGAATAAGAAATTCTTCAGCAAGAAGAGACTAGAAATACCGTTTCATATGTGATATTAAAACTGATTTGTATCGTTTATTATCATTGATTTTCAATTTACACTTGAGGTGAAGAGTGAGAGAAAGAGAGAAATGAATACGTCTAATTATAAGAAATAAGAAACATGAACTGAATTGTAACTTGTCAATTCAAAATTTTTGTCATTGAAAAGTGAAATAGTATGAAGCGTTTGATTTGCGTATGTAGTATATACGTGTGTGTGTGTGTGTGTGTGTGTGTGTGTGTGTTATATATATATATATATATATTTATTTATTTAATCGGTGCGTTTTTGTTTGATCACAAGGGAAACTACGCGAAATTTCTGAAGAATGTGCACACAGAGCAGGCGGCAAAATTGCAGGCAAAAAATCAGCACGAGTGCGATCTTCTAGAAGATGTACGGTAAGATTACAGTATAAATATCATTAAACAATAATATTAAGATGTAATTGCTTTAACAGTGTTTTCAAAAAAGTTAAGTTCGAACTACATTTTAAAGAACTCTATGTATTATCATTATTATTTCAAAATTGTGTATAAATTTGAAATAAAAAAAAAATGGTTTTAATATAATTAAATAAGCGGTAATATTTTTATTTTTTTCAGTAATTTCACGATAAAAAAGTCTGCCATCGAAAAATCCTATTCAGAGGTAAGGAGTTATTTTATCTATTCAGTATTTTTATTATAGTTATTACTATTAATTCTTTAAATTCTTTGGATTGGAATCTCACTTTAAAGAGTGAAAATTAAGCCAAACTTAAAAGAGTGGCTTAATTTTCAATCTTTAAGAGTAAAATTTCATCCTTCAAATTTGTGATCTAAAGGTGATTCTAAAAGTTTTAGAGAGAATTTTTTATAAGTATGATATTTTGACATTACTTTTCAGGCGCTACTCAAAATATCATCTGCATATTTAAATAAGAAGATACCGAACATACCAGATCTCAAAGTCGATGGAGCAGAAGAGAAATGGTAATTAGAGCATGAAAAACGAAAGTCCACACAAATATGTAATTTTTTAAATTTCTGTATGACATATACATATATATTATGGAAAATTTTACACCGTAACAATTATCTTTGCGCATCTACAATATTTAATTTGAACAAGATTAGATTAATATTTAATTTGATAAAATATTGATATTTAATTTAAAACAAAGTTTATTTTATAATCTGCATTTATATAATTAGTTGTTATTATAATTTCTGATGATTAATTGACCCAATTAATATGTACATTAATTTTTTCATACGTTATTGTATAATAAAAGAGCGAATAAAAAATCGATATAATTTAATAAAGATAATTATTTTCGCGTACCATAAGCATGGGAATTTGACCTCTACGGAATTGTACTGATTTCAATTCGCGGCTATTTATCGATCGGGGGAAGTTTGCCAAGGAGAAGAAGGGTAAATGGCAATCCGCTGGCGGGCGGTCGAATGATTGTAGGAACATGTGGAACGTATGGCGAACTGTGCTGGAGGAGAATGAGAAGCTGGCGCGTGCACGCCTCGCTGCTGTCGAGGTCTTCCAGCAGCAAATCGCCGATGATGCTAAGGGCCTCAAGATGCACAAATTACAAATCTCTAAGAAGGTACTGATTTTGTCATAAATTAATATAATATACATTTTATACATTTACATTTTATTATTCGATGTGTATATATATT